TTATGACACATTTATTATTTTCGAAAAATAGAAACAGCTATAGTAGAAATGGACTCTACTAGTATTTTGAAGGTTCTACTTTGCATTTCAGGGGTGTTTACAGAACTTATTCAGCAGATGCAAGTAAAAGGCGTGCAGGTAAGCCTTCTTTGTTTACTTTTGTATTTTATTTTTATGCTTACCCTGCACTGATCTTAGTTTATGGGTTGATTTCTACTGTTACTGCTTGGGCTTAGGCTGCAATTGCTTCTTGGAGATGTCTTCGCTCCTTTTGTTGTGATATTGATTATATCCAACACTTCATCCTTTATCTTTAACTTAATGTAAACTATATCCAATACTTAACCCGTTTTTCTTCACTAAGCTATGTTGAAGTTTTACTTTTCAAAGAAATTGTTTACTTAATTTTCATTGTAGTCAGAGTCTAAGTGTTATGTTGTGACTTGGTTATAGTTCACTTCTTTCACGTATGCCATGATGCCCTTGGTGTGGCCTTGCAGGTTGAGGAGTTGTATTCACTGGACCTTGATTCTCTGAACAATCTGAGGTACATAAGGGCCGTTTAAGCTTTCATCGCCCAGGCAGATATCCTCATTTCCACTATAGCAAATGTTTTAAGTTTAAATCTTTAGTATCGATGTTGTAGTTACTCTTTTTTCTCTGGCATCTTGCAGGCCTGTTTACGGTTTGATTTTCCTATTCAAATGGCGTCCAGGGGAAAGGGATGATCGCCTTGTAATTAAGGATCCAAATCCTAATTTGTTTTTTGCAAGCCAGGTTGGTGTTCATGAAAATGTATTTTTCTAGAGTAATGATACATTTGTAAGCTCTTCTGATCTTATACTTTTTATATCCTCATAGGTTATTAATAATGCTTGTGCCACCCAAGCAATCTTGTCTATCCTCATGAACTGTCCGGATGTTGACATTGGTCCTGAACTGTCAAAACTGAAAGAGTTTACAAAGAATTTTCCACCTGAACTGAAAGGCCTGGCAATAAATAACAGCGACGCTATCCGTGCAGCCCATAATAGTTTTGCAAGGCCTGAGCCGTTTATTCCTGAGGAGCAGAAGGTAGCTGAAAAAGATGACGATGTCTACCATTTTATAAGCTACTTGCCTGTTGATGGGGTCCTGTATGAGCTTGATGGACTGAAGGAGGGGCCGATTAGCCTTGGACAGTGCCCTGGTGGGCAAGGTGACATGGAATGGCTGCAGACGGTACAACCTGTAATCCAGGAGCGCATTGAAAGGTATTCCAAAAGTGAGATAAGATTCAATCTCTTGGCCATAATAAAGAACAGGAAAGAGATATATACTGCTGAACTTAAGGAACTCCAAAAGAAGAGGGAGCGCATTTTGCAGCAGCTGTCTGCCTTACAATCAGAGAGATCGGCCGACAGTAGCAAATTTGAAGCGCTGAACAAAGGTCTTTCAGAAATTAATGCTGGAATTGAGGGCGCTACCGAGAAGATCTTGATGGAAGAAGAAAAATTTAAGAAGTGGAGGACAGAAAATATTCGCCGGAAGCACAACTACATACCCTTTTTGTTCAACTTCCTCAAGATTCTTGCTGAGAAGAAGCAGCTGAAGCCTCTTATTGAGAAGGCAAAGCAAAAATCTGGCAACCCTAGATGAATGAGAATGATGGTTTGGTTAACTGTACTATGATGGGATTGTGGATTATTTTTCGTGATGTCAGTTGTAATTGTGGGTGAACCTAACTGGGGTTTATACATGCTTTCTTTAGGTTACTCGTTAAACATAATTTATTTTGGTAAGACATTCCCTTGAATTGACTTTGTTCTTACTTTGCTTTAGGTCAAGAAACATACATGTCTTTGAATTATGTGGAATAATAAATGGTTGAACATCATAGCATCTGCAACAACTCAAAACCCTCCTCCGCTCCTTTGCATGAGAAAAGGAAAATATTAAAACAAAAACATAGTCGCCCACCGTGGGGCTCGAACCCACGACCACAAGGTTAAGAGCCTTGCGCTCTACCAACTGAGCTAGACGGGCTTTGCTGATAGAGTATGGCACGCTAACTTAATTGTATGAGAGATTTATCTTATGAGCGAACGTCCTTTAATTTGGCGCCTAAATCATCATCTATCTGGGTTTTCCTTTCGTTCAGAGTTAGTTACTTTCATCAACCGTCAGAGTTGAAAGTTGAAACAGACTCTCGTAGGCCGTTAAATATGTATATCGCTATATTTATATATAAGAGAGGAGGCATTTCATTCTCAACTCTGCATCCAATTATTAAAATAAAAGATTCAAGAATCTCTCCCTCCCTACCAGAAGAAGAAGAAGAAGCAATTGATTTCAGAGATAAAGAATTCGTTGAAGAAGAATTAATGGCTGAATGCAGTGACCAGAACATTAAGAACCCACAACCAGAACCAGAAGATGAAGAAGAAGAATACACAGCGGTGGTTGGCAAACACTTGTCCATGCTCCGCCTTGACAACAGCAGCAGCAGCAGCTTCAAATCTCCCAATTCCAGTCCCAAGCCCAGGAGAACATTGAAAAGGCGATCCCCGTCCCAATCCCCACCAATATCCCAACCCAACCCCAAGAAAGAGAAGCTTGATCTCCCTCCTAATCCTCTTCTTCGCCGCTGCAGTTCCGAACGCTTCAACCCAACTTCTCCTCCTCCTCCTCCTCCTCCTCCATTTTATTCTTTTAATTCTCGTCACAATCAGCTGCAGTGCCCCAACGCAGCCTCTCCTGCCTCTGCCTCAACCGATAAAGCCTCCGGCGCGGCTGCTCTCTCTGCCTATGCCTCCGCACTCCGCCGCTCCGTTTCCAATGCCAAGCCTTCTTCGTGTTCGCCTGCTCTCAAAACCATCTCTCGTCAATCCTCCTCCTCCTCTGGTGACGAAGACGACGACGATGACGACGCCAGTCCCAATTCTAAGGTTTTCTTCCTTCACCTCCATCTTTCATTCTCTTGACTTTGAATTGCATCCGTATCTTTCATAAATCAATTATGAACGGATGGTTCTTGAAAATGGATTTTTATTATATTTGCAGAGGCTTAAAAGGATAAAAGATCGCGTCAGAGAGATGAGCCTGTGGTTCCAACAAGTCATGCGTGAAAATGAAGATGATGACGAGGAAGAAGAAGAAGAAGAAGAAGAAGTGGAACTGGAACCTCCTCAAGAACATCATCATCAACAAAATGGAGACACTACTGAGGTTGGTAACTCTAACTCATCATATTTTAATCATATCTTTACAACAATTGGTTGGTTGGTTCCCAAGAACTTAGAAATCACAAATCCTTTTTCACAAGTACTGGGTTCGGACTTAGAATTCCATTGATATCATCATCATCATCTCTTTCTTTCCGCTGATGAATTTGATGTTGCAGTTGCAGGTCGATAGTTGTTGCGTAGATTCAGCTGCACCAAAATGGATTCAGCTGCATCCTCAACTTGTGATACTCGCAAGTGCACGAGCCGTTGGTAGTTTGACATAAATTTTGCAGAATCTGTGAGCGTGGAGAGGATGTGGGATGGCTTAGTCATTCATTTCAGGTGCCACTGTGGCGTCCCCTATCAGTTCCTTCTTGCTGGGGGCAACTGCTACTACAAGCTCATGTAGATTTGTATTTCACAACCTCCTTTTACCACTAGACTAGTCACAAAAACCACTTTTTATTCTGCCTTTCTTTTTTCCTTTTGCTCAAGTAGAAGTTCAGATGTGCAAACGATGGTATTAATTTTTGTTGATTCTTCTGGCTATATGGTTATTTTCTTTCTGTATTGTTGTATTTCACTTACTCTTGGCAAAAAGAAATGTTCTGCTTTTTTTATTCTACTTACTAATCACAATGTTATCAACCTTACCACCTGCAGTAACTAGAAGGCTCCAAATAGTTGTGCGTGTGTCATACATAATCTTTTTTAAGGGCATTTTGTCATTCGAGGTATGAATATTACTTTTTCTAGAAAATCACATAGTCGCACATTGTGACAATACACTACTAAAAAAACAAAGACTAGCTACTGCTTTGAATTTGTGTGTATTATTAATTTTAGATACAATTAATAGCCCCCTTTAAGCAATAGCAACTATGCAGCCACCATTAAGTTAACAGTATCCTAGCTTGGGGTGGGTATTGCTCAAAAGAGACCATTTGAGTCATCAGTCCATCCTCTTATACAAAATAGATCAATAATATATTTGAATGAATCAGTCCCTTTATTAATTTGTTTTAACATTTCTTAAGTTTAATTGTCCCTTTATAATTTTCTTTTTAGCAATTGATATCAGTCTCCAAATGTGAATAAGATATTTAAAAAAAAAACTTTCACACTTAGTAATAGTTAGTATTGTCCAACGGCTTCTTCCTTTTGATTTGAATTCATTAAACTTTTCAATTTGTGATGTCCAAGTATCCATTAATTGGTGTTGTCCACTGGTTTCTTCTTTTTGCTTTGAATCAATTTTTTGCCTTTCAATTTGTGAGGTCCAGTGGTATATAAGAGGATTCATAAACATGGTTACATTTCAACAAAAAACCATTTTCACTAAGCAATCCCGTGGATGAATCACACATAATTTATTTTTTTATTTTTTTTGTTTTCTTCACTTTGCAAAACAGAAGAGTTGCGCCTTGCGTATCAAGTAATATTCACTTTGCAAAACAGAAGACCTTTGCCACATCAAACCCATCATTAACGTAAAAAGAAAAGAACGCACACAGCCTATACAAAAAGACCAAAGAGGACCTCGTCGCACAATGTAGAATGTACGGATTCACGGGAAAAATTGACATGAGTCGTGGGGCCACGAAAAGACGAAAGAGGACCCCCAGTCCCCAACTTCCATAACCGCTTACTTGAACACACTCTCCTCCCTTCCCTCTCTTCCATTTCTCACTCTCCACTAAATCCAACCAAACAGCCCTCACACTCCCTGCAAATAAATTCAGAAATTCGAATTTCAAAGTTAATTCCAAAATGAAGTTTAAATCGATCCAAGCGATGCAAAACCTCCAAACGGCGCCGTACCTCAAGACGAAGAAGAAGCTCCGGTCGGAGCTCCCTCGCCGGAGGAGATCTCAGATCTCTCCGGTTCTGTACTCGTCTCTCAAGTTCAATGCCCCCAGTGAGACCTCTGGTTTCTCTTCCTTCTCTGTGAACTCGAACTCGTGCTCGTACTTCGGCGGTGAAGTTTCGTGCGAGTCAAGCAGAGTTTCCGTTGGATCTGAGAGCGAGGCGAGGTCGAGTTTGAGGAAGAGACACTTCGACGAAACTGAGAAACACCGTAAAATACTGTTTCGTAGAGTTACTAGATCGTATAATGGAGGAAAGGCGGAGAAGAAAGAGGTCGGTGGAGACGGCGAACCAGAGGTTTCTGAGTCGTCGTGTGTGGAGTCCAATTCTGGAGCTCATTTTGGGGGTTTCGTTGACAGAAAGTTGAAGCTAAAGAGTAAGAGAGGAAAAGGAAGTGAGATTGTGAACGAAATTGGAGGAAACGAAGGTTCTGAAGCAGTTAGTAGACCAGAGATTTCCGAGTCCGATAAGGTCTCATTGGAATTCAAGGAAAACGAAGTTACGTCATTCAACTCTGGCATCGAATTGTGCTCTGAATCGAAATTAGCAGAGAAAACGGTCAAAGACGGCGAAAACAGAGCACCGGAATTTGAATTCCCTGGAATTTCTGAAAACTACTTCGGTGAAAATTTCGCGATTTCAAACTCTGAATTGACGATAGAGCAGAGGCCAGACAGCTTGCAAATCGATTCTGACCTTGGTTGTAAGGAGCAGTTCTCCTACGACGACGTCTCAGAGTACTCTTCGAGTCAGACATTGTCGGAGCTCCAATCGAATATTTTCGACGAAAATTCCGAGCTCAGTCTCTCAGAGTACACTCCGTCTATTTACTTCAATTCTGGAAGCGAATTCTCGGAGCGCTCGGATGAAGATTCAACTCATTCACCTACTTTCACCTTGCTCCTTCAATACAGAGAAGAATTTACGAGATCGAGCACTGCTTTATATTTCATTGCTGCTTCCTGCGTTAAAGAACTTTATAAGGATGATTATACAGTAAGTTTTATCAAGTTTAGAATTACGATCTTAATTTTCCCTTGCTTTCCTGCACTTTCTCGCCAAACAAACAGAAATAGATTGTTGAATTTTTTTCTTTTTTCTTTTTTCATTACTCCTTCTGTATTGATTTTTGTTATTTTAATAATATTATTTTAGTTTCTTAAGTTCGAAGACGAGGAGGACGAAGCGAGCTATCAGCTGCTTAGGAACAGAGAGAGGATACAAGTATTTTTGCGAGACTACACGGAGGAGTACTCTTCCACGACGGAATGCGGCGATCTTATCCTCCAGCAACGGTGGCAAATGGTCCGTTGGATCGTCGAGGTGATTGGCTTTACCGAAATTCACGTTTCACTGATTAAGTTCAATTAATCGTCGTTTTCTAAATTTAAATAAGGTCGAAGTTCAACTAATCGTCGTTTTTATCTATTTAAATTTGGTCGTAGTTCAATGAAGCGTCGTAATTAGTTCTGTTTGGAAATTGGACCTGCACACGTTTATGGAACTACATGCCGTTAGAGTAGCACATACTATCTACATGGACGATATTCTACAACCATTTAACATCCAATCAAATCTGCGCCACGTCATTGAATGGATGTGTTTGGCACTGAAACTGAATGCATTACTAGTTTTTATGTTAGGATCATTCATGTACTTTTTATCACAGGCACTGGCACATCACTAGTTTCGCTTTTCTCCTATTGGCCAAAGTAATACACATTAGTAATGTATAGGGAGAATAATTTGATACATTTGTGCGAAAAATGATTTTATGTAAATTTGATACATATACGTGTCCAAATTCAATTTTACGGTAATCCTTCTTAGCTTACCTACTTCCACGTTGCCCCACACTTAGAACGCGGTAGTAGCACGTGCATTCGCGCCAGTGATGGTGCGCATTTAACATTTGTTGAGGGGCACTTGTCCAAACGATTTTTCGCGTAGGTGCGATTAATTTCACGAATTTCAATACAAAGAACTTGCATACAGCATACCGACTAGGGTGGATATCCAAACGGCCAATTAAGTAATTGGATCGATTTGGTTCTATTTCTATAAAAAGACGAATTAAATTAATTCATAATTAGTTTAATTTAGTTCAATTAATTCTATATAAGAACAAGCTAAATCGAACTAAACTGCATATTATTATTTATTTATTTTGGCACAAGGAGTTTTACATTGGTAATGATCATTTACTATTATGTTTCTTCCCACTATTTATATCAACATTTAATATAATTGTATTGTTAGTTTGTTACTTTGTTACTTTAATGGAATGTTGAATATTGTTAGTGTACTAGAGATTTAAAAAGTAAAATGGTGAATGCAATGTTTGCTTTAAATGTGCTTGAAATTGTTAAGATTGTTATGTTATTTTTGACTCTCATGTATAGAATTGTTGTGTTGCACATGAGTATATTGGGTGGTGGCAATGTTTATACTTTGTTGGTGGATGTTCGAATGCCATTGTCAATTTGCTTTGCTTGACATGCATTGAGATGTGAATTTAAGATATTGATGCTCTTTATGCTTTTTCTGATAAAGTGGTAATAAGAGATTGCATTATAGTTAAAAATAGTGTTCACCCTCATCATTATATTGGTTAATTTTCACGTAAAACTCTAATATTCCGTTTCCTGTGGGAGAGGGTGCATAGGCTAACTGTTATCTGTATTTCGTATAATTAACGTTTTATTATCTCTTGTTATTGCGTTAATGCGGTGCTTTTGATTGGCTTTCAACAAGCAGCGATCGAATCAAACGAAGCTACAGCAGGAAACGAAGTTTCTAGGAGTTAGCCTCCTTGACCGATTCTTAAGCAAAGGATTTTTCAAGAGCAAAAGGATCCTTCAGATTGTTGGAATAGCCTGTCTAACTCTAGCCACCAGAATAGAAGAAAATCAGCCCTACAACTGGTATATCTTTATACTTTTTATACCAGTCATACATTTCTACCTAGTCTGTTTCCTCATAAACCTGGCGTTGAGGTGTTTTTTAGCCCCTTTTTGTGTGTGTGTGTGTGTGTGTGTGTGGAAATTAAAGCGTTACTTATAGATGAATACCAAAAATCAGAAGTTGAAGCAGTCCAATTCCTTCTGTAAGTGATTTGTCTGGAAATGAATGTATTAGAGAAACTGCGAAGTTGCTTAGAGCTCAAACTTAAAGCTAACCTACGCCCCCTTTTGGTACTTCAATAATAGTGTAATTGAGACATGTCAAAGCAGGACGCATCATAATTACCTTCTAAATAGACCTTTCTGATGGCCATTTCAGCGTTCGGAAAAGGGATTTCCATGTAGGAAGCAATGTGTACAGCAGATGTGAAGTGGTTGCTATGGAATGGCTAGTTCAGGAGGTCCTCAGCTTCCAGTGCTTTCTGCCCACCATCTATAACTTCTTATGGTAACTCTCAGTCTCCCATTTTCTCCAAAGTACTATACTAGACAAATGCATGCTGCTTCTCTTGCATTGACAACCTGGCAAACTCAGTCTCCTGATCGTCTTTCTCTGCATATCTAGATTATCTTTCAACTTTTATTTTATTTTTTTTCTGGGCAAAGAAAATGTTTCTGATTTGAGAGGTTCATGACATCTTCATTCCATGAACTAATTGGATAACATAGGTTCTACCTGAGAGCTGCTAGAGCTGATGCCCAAGTGGAGAAGAGAGCCAAGTACTTGGCAGTGCTGCAGATGTCGGACCATGTGCAACTTCGTTACTGGCCTTCAACAGTTGCAGCTGCGCTTGTCATCCTTGCTTCTTTAGAAGGCAATCATGAGGCGTCCCGCCAACGAGTCATAGAGGTAACCGTTTCTTTTAAACTACATTGAATTATAATGTAGAGGGATGCCATTATGTCATCATGGAGAACACATCTGGTTCTTGATATCTCATTGATGCGATCTTATGGCTTTGCAGACTCATGTGAGAACAGAAGGTGATGATTTACATGAATGCATAGAGGTAAGGATAAAATATGAGATATCATAAAGTTCAATAATTTTACATTTTCATTTCTCCAATTAACTTACTAAGATTTCTGGTTGCGAGTCAAATATATCGCGCCGCCTAGCACAGCCTCATTTCTTTTATGTTTTTCTTAATATTTTGAATATATTGTCATTTTAATATAGTTGATAGGTGCTGATGATGTGCTAACTTTAACAGAGCCTAGAGTGGTTGTTACATTATGTGTGACTTATGTTTGCCGACTCCCTTATCAAAGAGATGGATGGAAGGGAGATCAAGGTAAAGCCTGATCAATAGGTAACAAAACAAATCTGATTTTTTTCGTCAATTAAGACGACCGTGCAGCTACTTGTAAACATTTCATATAAGTACAGAATTTGTAATAATATCTGATGGTCTCCAAGGACCAAAAGTAAACTGTATGAACTTATGTTTGAAAAGTTCTTCACTACTGACCACGAATGTTTTACTTCTCTGTTTCTAGCATGCGTCATTATATGGTACCATACAATAGCTGCTTTGCTAAGAATTTAAGCATCATGATACCTCGAATGTCTATGCAGACTATTTTTGAGGGCGTTGACATGCCCCCTAAAGTTTGAAGGTTTATATGTCCTTATGCAAGCAAACGAGTAAGCTTTATAATTCTGTTTGTTGACCATTCAAAATATTGTTCCAGCCAGACCAGTAAAGATAAATGACAGAATTTAATAGGATCGATACTGCAAAGGCATTGTTTACTCAGTTAATGTGTGATTGCTCTATTATTAAAGATAAAAGTAAAATTAATTTGAAGTTAGAAAGAAAATAAATGAACACCTGCATTTCATCTAGTTGCTATACAGTTTTGTAAACAATTAACTTAACTCTCACCTCGAACCATAAGCATGACTTTACAACAGGCTATGTAGTATACAATTCTTGTATGCAACAGACTCCTTGTACAAAACCATATGATACAGCAAACAGAACAATAATTCATCCATTTTGTCCAGACCGATCATTTAATTCCCAGCTTCGTGTCATTGGGATAACTGGCTGAAACTGCAGGAGGAACCCTACCAGAAGACTCATCAAGATGGGTCTGAGCAAAGTCGGTGATGACCTCTGTCCTCTGCCTGTGTTCAATCTCCTTTTTCTCCTCCTCGGCCCTGTCCACCTTCTCCTTGGTCATCATGCCCACATCCTCAGCTACCTTTGCAACTGCACTGACTGCATTTGAAACCCACGAAGCTCCGGTCAATATGTAAGGGTTGCTCATGAGAGCAGACCCTGCAATGCTTGCCTTCTGCTCAGCAACAGCAAAGGCAGATTTGGTCTTTTCCGAGACCATGAACCTTTGATCCATCTCTCTCACCTTTTCATTGACAACAGCTGTTCCAGCCCTTAGCTTCTCCATCAGACCTATCTTCTGGTCAATTGTAACAACTGTGGCAGAGGCATTTGACATTAGTTGATGCCTCTCATCAAAGGCCTTTGCCTTGTTAATGGCATCCTTTCCTAAGATGTAACCCTTGGCAAGCATAGCGCTGGCCACATCTTCTGCCTTCCTTACAGCAGAATTAGCCACAGCAGGCTTTTTCTCCTTCAAAGGGGAATACATATTTAGTAAGAAACAATTACTTTCTGGGACCAATTAAAACAAGAAATTCACATGTACTTGTGTACATGCTTCAGGCTATTAAGCAACAGAAAATCTTCATAGGCTAAAAAATTAGTGTTGCACTCTTGAAACACCACTAGACTGAAAGTTTGACCTCCAAGTTCATGCTACACAAGACTAAATGGTTGGAAGATAATACAGATATGGATGCATGCCATGGTATTTACCGGGCTTGATGGGAGTGGGATGGCTTCAGGCGGCAGCTTATAATCGTCAACTGGCGTAATGGTGACAGAAAGATCAGCTACGGTGGCTCCCTGAATTTTAAAATTTTCATAATACATTACTAATCAAATGACAGAACCCTGCATCAAAAACTTCAGAAAAAAATATAAGAAGAACGTCTGACCACCGTTATAAAAAAGTGAACATACCGAGAGGAGAACTGCTGTATCTGCTCCTTGTGAATCCTTGAAGGTAACATAGGCAAGCTGGGTGTTTTCAGTTTCTCTGCCAAAAGATACCACCAAATTTTTTAGAATAACAAACCTAATAACAACACTGTCGCCAATATAATTAAAAAAAAAATGTGAACCTTTGCATTTCAACATATTGTATATCTCCAGAGAATGAAAAGAATTCTTTGATATCCCTGTCAGAAACAGCTTGAGAGACATTGCTAACCTTGACTGTTCTTATCTGCAGAGGAAAATCAAGTGAGTGAATATGCATGTTTTAATCACACCAAAACCAAAAGAAAAAGAAAAAGACGTATACTATTAGAAGTTAGAACACAGACAAGAAAAAAAAGTTACAAATTTTCTCACATCTGAAACATTGGTTGTGGAGTTTGGTGTTGCAGTTGTTGACTGGGGAACTGCTTCAATCCCCTCATTTGCATGTTCCACCGGAGTCTGGACACAAAATTCTCAATTAAATAAATAATTCCAGGGTGAAATGAATGAAATAAACTCAAAATTCATTGAGAGATGATGACAACAATGGTAATAATATCAAAAGGAAAAGAAAACAGGCAAGGTAATGAGGCAAAAATACAGACAGGAAAATGTTGAATAATTGAAGATTTATTAGGGAAAGACTACCCCATGAAACACAAAACCCTAATGTAACCAAACAGAGCAATCATTGGATTTGGAGGCAGCAATTATTTCTAAACTTCATAATTTTTCTTATTTTCCCGCATTAACCCAGCAACCAACAAAGCAAAAACAAGAAGAAAACCAAGCACATTGTGTCAAACACCCTAATCAAAGAGAATGAAAACCCAATGGATGTGACACAAAAGAGTACTGAGATCAATATTTTCAGAAAGAAAAGAAGAAAAAAAACTTACCGACATTTCGGTAGATTTTGCTTGAGAGGGAATGCACGTCCTTGTGTTGGTTGTAGTATTTTGTTCCTGTTTTCTCTTATTTTTGGTTAATGCTTTCTTTGTTAATGGTAGTTTTACCTTTTTGTTTTTTTCTCAGCGGGAAGTTCGCTAATCACCAACTCGTTTTCAATTCGGCAAACTCCAACTCCATTTCTTGGGCTATGTTTTTGGGTCTTAACATTGCCTGTGATAGATTTGGCGCTCCAATTAGAGCTGTTACTGATTTCTCTTCTGTTCATTTTTGGGAAAAAATGATTCTATGGACGACTGGTTTGCCAAGTCAACCATGTCTATTTTCCTTTGGTCTAACGTCACCCATGTCAACAGAAATATATATATATTTGTGAGGCCTGAAATTGTGCTTCAGATTAGTTTTTTTCTTGATTTTTTTTCTTTGGGGGTCAGTTTTGTTTTTTAATTCAAAGTTGGATTGAATTGAACTTTGACCAAAAGCTTTTCTACAAGACAAAAGCAAAGATACTCAAAGCCTGAGAAGCCGCAACAAATATATACATGTGTGCTGACCATTTCCAAGCAAAAGTTGATGGTCATCCATGTGCAACATAACTTTCACGCATTCCAGCAGTTACTTCTGTCAGTGCATCGATTGGATTGGCGCTATTCTATTCTCTTCTAGGATATATTCCATTCACTTACAAGTTAGACGAATCAATGTCTAATGTATTGCAGCCCTTTCCTTTCCCTTTCTGTCTGCCACATCCATATAACAAGACATAAACAAAAGATTGTTGCCATAATGCACAGGGAAAGCAGAGGGCCCAACCAAACAACTGACTACACACCACACCACAAGGAACATGAGGCCATCACCAATCGGACATTGATTGAGACAAAGCTAATCAAATCTCCGGCGGCCAACAAGATAGAAAAAGTAAAGCAATAAAGCAGCCAGCCAACCACTCATGCTTGCCAACAAAGCGAGAAACATTCCCACCAGACATTTTTAAAAAGTTTTCTAATCTTGTTCTGTAAAAAGATATATATATTTCATCCATGAGAAAATTAACAAAAGTATGGTAAATCCCAACAAACCTCTCAATTATCAACCATATGCTCTGCAGCATTACCACCTCTCTTATGCTGTACAAACTAAATCCCAATCACAGATATGAGACGGATTTTCTTCAATCTAGATATAATACTAGCTGTGGTTTTATGGTTTTAATACTTAGATATAAACCAAAACTTTTATGACAGGGGAAAAGAATCAAAAATATCACTCATCTTGTCTACCCATCTCAACAGAGAGGAGCTCTGTGAGGGATGCCTTTCCTCTTATGCAAAAGCTTTCTTGGCTTCAATGCTGAACATACCCAAGCAGTCATCTCCTCAGACGACTCAGCCAACGAGATCGATGATTCCATTTCGCTCATGTTTGTTTCGGAATTGCAGTTACCTTTTAATGAAAAATCACCATATTGTGGTATAGTAACTGCGATGAATTTGTGACTTTGGTCTTCAGGCTTCACTGGGACTATAGATGCCTGAAAATGTGTAAGCATGCACACACTTTATCATGAGAATCATGTAAAGAGAAATATACAGCACCAAAATGGAGCCCAAAAATTTGGAAGTTCAATTACCTTGCAGGCAATGGAGCAGTAACGATTTGGCATGTCCTGCAGATATCTCCCACAAGCTTCACAGGAAGCACCAAACTTTGCTTTTGTTGATGGCTTGGCATCTTTGGCAAGAGGGCGAGGATTTAGATGCACAGCTTTCTCACCATTGATTTTATATGTCTGTACGACGTCAAGTTGTCATTATTTGAGATAAACAACATTCACAACAAGGAACCAACAACCTCACCAAGAAAACAGTAAACAGTGATCAATCAAATCAACTATCCTAGGATTCCAGCTACCAGCAGGATTGAACCACATGAGAAATAAAACTGATGAATTTTGTTGTCTGATAACACTGACAGAACATGTACACCAATTAAAGCGCATTCAATTTGACTTGCCTACAAACTACACCACAAACACAAACCCTGAAATTTAACATCCCATAACTATATAACAATCAGACAGCCAACTTAAATAATCATATATTAGTTAAATTGATGAGCCGTACTTCTTTGGTAATTATACTAGTGTCTACAAGATTAACAAAGGAAATTCAATCAACAATTGTTGTTGACTAGAAACAACAAAACAAACACAGTTTAGAAAACCCAAATGCCATTTTAATTTTTACCTGCAAATGAAATCACATCAAATTTGTATGAGTTTTAGGATTGAAGACAGAGAGTAGGGAAGAAACCTGAATTTTAGAACAGTCAAGATGCTTCTGAATTTCTTGAAGGCGAACCACATCATGGTAGACGT